GTCAATCTAGGAACACGGAATGAAAACCTAGAGACGCAAGCTTACCTAATAAGATTTTATGCGATACTTTGTCGAACGCTTTTGAGAAGTCAGTATAGATACAGTCTACTTGGTTCCCAGCAGAAAACGCCGAAATACAGTAGTCACTAAATAGGGCAAGATTAGATACTGTGGATCTACCAGTAACAAAACCATACTGCTGTGGAGAGATTATACTCTTCGCAGCAAAATACATATTTTCCTTTATGATGCTTTCAAAAAGTTTAGATACAGTAGTCGAGAGTTTAGAAATCGGCCTGTAATTAGACACATCGTCCTTTTTGCCACTTTTGTAAATTGGAGTAACATCCGTCCGTTTCCAGTCGTCAATAGAGACCCCAGATGCTAACGATTTGTTAAAGATTAGTTTTAGAGGCAAAGCAAGCGCAGAACATTTTATAAGAAGGATAGTGGGGACACCATCTATATCCATCTTAGTAGACGCTTTAAGATCTTTGATACCATCCGCAACGTCTTCTAATGACAGACTCAAAAGGCCGAAGTTCAGAGGTGAGTTATCTTTCACGGAGAAGTAGGAGTTGGAGTCATGATTATCACAAACGAAGTTTGAATTAAAAAACTCTGCAAACAGATTAGCAACGACTGAAGGAGTACTAGCGGATCTATCTTCCCAGGAAACCGCAGATGGGACTCCAGAGGCAGACTTCCTAGACTTAATGAACTGCCAAAAATACTTAGGACTAGATTTGATGTTGCTTTCAACGCCCATAATGTAATTTTTATACAGAAATTTATTCAAGCAGTTGAATTTTTTCGAACATTGAAGATATAATGTATAAGCGTAGAGAGTATTATATCGTTTAAACCTCTTATGAAGCTTATTTCGCCGATTCTTGAGCTTTTTTAAATGTCGTGTATACCAAGGAAGCTTGAACAGCCTTTTCCGAATTAGTGGAGAATTTTGGCGACAAATCTCTACCACTTTAGACCTAAAGGCGGAATAACAATCCGAGGTAGCGGAACTCACGAGCAGCTCATTCCAGTTAACTTTGATTAAAGAATTATTGACCCTTGAAAAGTTACACTTTGAGAAATTAAGAGCCATTGTCTCTTCACATTTAGTGCCTGTAAATTCATAAAACTTTACGTTGAGGGCCACGGAAACATGATGCTTGTCTGTAGAGAAGATCGGCGAGTAACATTCCGAAATAGTAGCGTTGATATTATCACTAAGAAAAACGAGATCCAAAATTCGATTAAGCTTGTTTTTGAAACAATTCAATTGCACTAAGTTAACACTTAAAATATTATCAACAAAGTAAGATTCGACCTCTGTATTAACATTCGTTGGTATAATACCCCATTTTGACAGATTATTAGACCAGATAATATTTGGAAGATTGAAATCACCTAACACATAGATGATTAGTTGTTAACGCATTGTGAACCAAATATGAAATGTTGTCTGTATGAGTTTTATAAAGACTAAAATTACTACCAGGCGGGGTGTATGAAGCCAAAGAGCCAAATTCAGAAGTACCTTTGATGCAAACACAAATTTGATCTAATATTGGGTCATTGTCGCTGAGCGGGACAACAAATGTATGAAGATAACGCCGAACTGCGAGAAAATCCTGTACTATTGACATCCCGGTCTTTCCGAAAAACGTTGAATAAGGTCGGATTGAAATATTCACTATCTAAAAAGTTTGCATTTAACCAAGTCTCCACGAAGATTATGACGTCAAAATCCGAAACTGAGCTATGGATGAGAATGTCGTCCGACTTTGTACGTAAGCCACCCATATTTTGAAAGTTTATCTTCAAATTCTTGAACGCTGGCACGGATATTTTGGAAATGGCTAGGTTTGGCCTTTGGGATGCCCTCTTCGTTGAAAAAACTGAAAGGGATGCAGTTTAATATTGGTAGGCCAAAGCGCTGGGTCCAAAACCTAGTCATATTGAGATGCAATAACCCCCAGTTTAAAATTGATCTTCGTAAGCGAGCCAATGTCAACATCCTTTTTGATGAGCTTAAAACAAGAAATGCTAGTTCTGTCGATTCCAGTATTTTTTTCACGAAAGAAATTATATTTTCCTCAGATACATTTGGTTTAAAAGAAGACAAGTGTAGCCATTTTTTCGTATCAGCGACATTTAATTCAGTACTGATACTGTGCCCAATAACAACTTTGCGTACATTTTTTTCCTTCTTCTTTTTGTTCCTCTTCGATTGCATGGTGACCAGGGTTGAAAAATGGAAATTTGAGATTGTACCTAATATCATAAAATAAATGTATCTAAATGACACAGATTGTACCTAAAAAAGTTACATCATTCATTTGTAGTTTTTTTTTATAAATGTTATTTAAAACATGTATACAAAAGATGGATTATTTTTTTTAACTGAGCCTATATCTATAGACTACATATAATCTAATGGGAATCGGAGAAGCGTTGTTTTTGTCTAATTTTGGCTACTGAAAAACGTTGGCGAAAAAGACAAAAAAACACACTTTGCGAAGTATACTTCTTTATCCAGCTTTTTATAAAACAACAGGAAAAGTCTGCTTATTTATCCGATTCCTTTTGATAGGTGCAGCAAGTCTAGAAAAAATAATCAAATTGCAGGAAGTAACTTCGAAAGCATTTTAAATATATTTCCAGAAATCAAAAAGCGAATATGGGTCAAATAGCTATAGTTTTCATCTAAAGAAAATATGAAATTTTAAGACATCCTAGACACTGAACTGTATGTGTGAATAAAGGCTGGTTTTCATTATGTCATATTTTGACAACAAAGTTTGTCGCCATATTTTGACACAACTTTCTTTCCTTTATCCCTACCTTTATCGATGATATTATGGGCCAAAAACTTACAAATAGCCGCTTTAGCAGCGGATGTACACGGCTGAAGGCCTATTCTGATCTAAATCAATCAAAAGACCATCTTTTAGTCCCATTTGACAATTTTTTTTCACTCATTTGACCGCAAATGCCATTGAATTTGACTTAGTGAAAATAACCGTTAAAATTAATAGAAAAAAATTCGAATTTGAGGATAACTAAGCAAAGTGTTAATTTTTCGTAGTGGATGCTCTAAATGCAATGTAAAATGTTTAAGATAATACGTAATATGACTTTTTTGATTTCTTCCTTTGACCACTTTTCTTTAGAATGGTTTATTCTTCAAAATGAAAGCAAAGTAAATATACTAGCACGGTAAAGGAAAAAGAAAAAAAAAAACTAAAAATGCATCTGATCAAAAGATGATTGTACCTATAATCTAGTGTCTGAACCTAAATGGAAAAAGGTACAATTGTACCTACTTTTTCATCCCTGATGGTGACCCACTGTGCTTGTCCACTTGATAGCGAACCATCAGCACTGTTTATGTATTTCAGTAGCGGCAGCAACAGCGTATGTGTCAGCAGAGGCAGCAGCTGCGTAGGAGAGAGTACACCCAGGCATACAAGCAGTGTTGCCGCGCATATTTTTAGTGGTAGCCAAATTCCTTTAATAAAAGGGCTAAAAAAGAGCTAAAAAAAGTAGTTGTGGCTAAAAATTGTAGCTAAAATTTTTTACTTACATATACATATATAAGTATACACGTAAACATTTTCAATAAGTAATCGTATATAAAAACAATGAACTTTGGAAAAAAGCTAATATTTTATCCAACTAAAAACCTTTTTGTATAAAAGGGGAAATATAAGACACCAGCTTGCTGGTTCCATCAAGTGATTGTACCATCAGGCTCGAAGCATATAACTTACTAGCATGCTGGTACAATATTTATTTCTTTACAAATGAGATCGAGGAAAGATCGGAATGATTAGAGCCGAAATTTCATAATTTTTCTAGCATTTTGTTAAACATTGTTTGTTTTTGTAATTCACAACTGTAATATCGTGAACTTAATCTTACACAAACACGGCTTTGACTCATATAGTGCAAGAAATACTTTTTACTTAGAAAATTGAGCTAATTTCACCATTATCGACACCAGCATGCTGGTACAATCGCACCACAAGAACATACACGGTCAATCGACTTGATGGGTCATTTAACAAATTTAGCATATTAAGGGCCGTGAACTTATCTATTTTAAACTATAGTTAAATCGTTAACAGATAAGTTAACAGCCCCAATACTTTTACAGTATGTATTTATAAAAGCGTAAGGAATACATATATGTATATATATCTTCTGTCTTTCTTAGTTTTAAAATTCATCTCTTACATAAATGCAAAAAAAAAAACAAATTAAGCATATACAACATTTTCATGCCAAGGATGAATAAATTCTAAAAAGGGCTAAAAAAAGGGCTAGGGGCAATTTTAAATTTATGTGGCCAAAAAAAGTATGTGGTAGCTAAATCTAGCCACCAAAGGGCTAAAACGGCAACACTCCATACAAGTAGTTGTCGACGTGTGATCCGTAGCAGTTGTTAAAGCTGGGGGAGTAACCATAGCAGAGTTAACACTGTGAGCGGAAGGTTGAGATTTCTCACACGCAACGTCTATGTTACACTCAGACATACATGTATCTGACGAAGTATGATGCGTAGCAGTCTTTAAAGCTGGGGTATTAGCGATAGCAGAGTTAGCACAGTGAGTGGAAGACTGAGATTTCTCACTCGCGACGATTCTGCAATTCGAGCGAAGATTTTTAACTTCGGTAGTGAGCACATTGATCGACTCCGCAAGCCCATCGGTGCACAGTTTACTCGGCTTCGAGGGATTCCGTTTTGCTAATAAGCCGTTTATTGTCATCCGCTAATGCATTGACTATAGCAAAAACACGAACATTCTCAGCTCTAAAGGCCGGTCCACATCAAGAATGATAGAATGCAAGATTGCGCCAATCGAGCTGAGAGCAACTGGCCGTGACGTCAAGAAATACCAGAATGAGAGAGCAAAGACGAATTCAATAAGAAAAAGAAGAAGAATCGAACAGCTGGGGCGAAATTGAAAGGTTTGTTTACAAAGTGCATAATAATCGCGGATTTACGGAATTATTTAATTTTAAATGGTAAATTGGTTGTTTAAAAGTAAAGAATGTGTACTTCTTAAATGCAATGCAAATCGCTGAAAGTGTTAAAACACTGCAAGCATTATAATGATTTGCATTTTTTCAGTAATTGAACAAATACCAGCGGGCCGCCAGCGGGTCAGTTGCTGGTAACAATTTGCAGAACGATTCCACGGTGATCGTTGCATCGTCGTCAATTAGTGAAATCAGTAAGCAAGCTTTTAAAATAAAGGAAAACCTCCTACTCCGCTATACATATAATTACTTTCATTATTTAGCTACTTTTCCGGCAGCCGCAACAAACGCTGGCCCAAGCCTGCAAATTGTTGCCAGCAACTGACCCGTTGGCTGCCCACTAGCATTTGTTCAACTACTCAAAAATGCACTTTGTAAACAAACCTTTTGGGTGTTGGCCACATCAAGCGGCTCATCTGGATGAAATGAAAAGGCTGTTAGATGTAATGCAGCAACGTGCTCCCGATGTTGAACATCAGTTCAAAGAAAAGTCAAATGAGTTGGAAATGGCGCAGCTTATCATACGCCAGTTGTCGGATAAGGCCAATGTAAACCAAGGCCGCAATCGGATAGAGACCTCGACGCAGACGCAATTTATGTACGAGCAACATATTAGAAACTTACAAGTAAGTTAGAAGTAGAAGTGCATTTGAAGACGTTTACATTATTATGTTTACGCATTTCTTACAGGCTATGGTGCAACAATTGACGTATGAAAGGAATTTATGATGGTCACAAATATATTGGCAAAAACATAGTAAGTGCATATGCAAGTTGGAAAAATTGACAATGCGTGAGTATAAAATGAATAGGTGTTCTTAATTATAAATATTACTTTACCTCTTCTTTGGCAGTGGCTAAAAATAAGAGTCTTTTTAATGATCGACCGCAATAGATTCAAGAATTGACTTACATCATGGTGTATGCGTTACAATCTAAATTAGCCAGCATGAGCACCGACTTCAAACAGATACTAGAAGTGCGTATAAAAAATCTCAACCAACAAAAAGCGCGTCGGGATCAATTCGGGCAGTCGCCAATTGCTGCTAGCACTGTTCGCTCGAGTACAGCGAAACAGGGCTCCTTGCTGTTAAGCGAAGAGAATACGGCCGTAAGCATTGACATGGCCGCAAGTGATACAACACCATTGCTGGGTGCAGTCGGAGGTTGTGGAATACAGACGCAGCAGCAGATTGCATTATATGATGACTCCGATAGTTACGTGCAACAGCGGGCTGAGACTATGCAGAACATTGAATCGACTATTGTCGAGCTAGGCGGTATATTTCAACAATCAGCACATATGGTTAAGGAGCAAGAGGAGACTGTGGAGCGTATCGATACAAACATACAAATATTGAAGTACTTCCAAACTGATGATAAAAATCTTCGCAGTACTGATATTCATTTTTCATATTCTTCGTAGTTTTCCTTATATAATAACGAATATGTTTGTGACACGGCAAGATTTTAACAAGTTCAGATGCGCGGTCTTAAAGTTGTGGGTTTTTAAATACATAAATATATAATATCCTATTCATATACATACATATAAAAAACACTAATGTAATAATGAAATTAAGTCTTATATGCCACGTGAAACACGATAGCTTTTAGAAGCAGTCACGTAGGATTAGACACTAATTCTGCCAATAATAAAATTACTTCACTTAGTTTCACTTTTTTTCAAAATTTTCTATAAAAAGTAGAGATGATCCTGTATAATAAAACGAGAACCGATTTATGTAATCATAAATATATAAAGAAAAGTTTAAAACTAAATAAAATAGAAATTGTTATTGGCAATAAGTACATGTGCTTGTTTATTAATAATTCAAATATTATGTTCAAACAAATTTAAGTGAAAGGTATGCAATTTCAAGAAAAAAGCAATTGCTTAGTTTTTATGCATACGGCCTAATATTTCCGGTAGGAAGCAGAAGGTCAGTATGTATAAATAAAAAGCTTTATCAGGGGAACGTGTTATATTTTCAAATAACAAATAAATAAGAAATACATCGTAATGAAATGTTGCCGTTTATTGCATGTGATCTGATGCCGGATTCAATTTATAGGTTCTCGTAGGTAGCTCGTTCTCGAAGTCATCAGTGGTGAAGTGTTTTACACAGATGACGCTGGTTCGGGCGTTGAAATCCGTTGGTCTCCGGCAGAACTGGATCCACTTTTCCACCAACTCAATGTCGGCCGGAAAAGTAAAAAAACTGCACCCAGATCCTTTGGCACTAACACTAGCACAATTAATCACTGCACACCTCATTTTTTTCTTTAATTTATAACTTTTTTATAAGTTTTCACAAAAAACAAAACAACGCTCAAAATCTTTCCAATTTGTAAATTTGTAAAGTTGAAATAACCTAAAATGTCACGAACCAGAAAATGTAAACAAAAGTATTGTGTGACGTCAGCGAATGGGTGGATGCTGTCAAATCGACGAAGAGAGGGTTAGCGGTCCGCGAATGGCGCGACCTTTATTTTCTGGATCGTGGGTCCACATAGAACTTTCGCGTTGGCTTTGGCGTTGGCGTTGGTTTGACAGAACGCACGTTAAAAGTATGCTTGCTACAATGAACGCTTGGCAGCGAATGCTTGAGCCACTAAATTAACTTATACTAACGACAGATAAATTAATATTTCATATCAATAATTGCATTAAAAACGATATTTCTTGCCCGCACTTGATTAGAAAGGAAAAATATTTCACATAATTTTATTTATTTGCAACAGCTGACAATCGACGCACGTGAAAATTGAGAGTTGGCCATCTTTTTGCTTTGTGTTGGCGTGAGCGTTGTCAAATTTTGGCTATGCGGACGGCTGCATTTGAATTCTTGTATTCATAGTCACTGTTGAATCGACGCCAACGCCAACGCAACGCCAAAGTTCTATGTGGACGGGCCTTAAGGGCAATAATCTCATCGAACAATGATTGTCAGTGTTGCCATTTTAGCCGCTTTCCGGCTAGATTTAGCCGGTTGCGATAGCAAACAGCCGGAGAAATTTCGATTTAGCCGGCAGCCGATTTGTTAGCCGTTTTGCAGAAAAAATAGCCGTTTTTAGCCGATTTTGCTATTTGCCTTGTTTTCTTAAATTTCAAATATGTATATATGTTTCCATTTTTGACTAAGCGACCCAAAATCTGTTAGAAATGGCTACTAGCCTTATCGGGGAGAAAATTTTCATGTCAGCCAGGATTGTATGAAATTGGGCGATTTCGCTTATTATTAAAATTATTTTAAACGAAGAATGGATTTTCTTTATAAAATGATTGTTATAAATGTCTTAATTTTAAGTGTGAAGTTTTATTCGCAAACTTAGAAAATAAGAAATTGTTTCACTGTTAAGACTCTTAAGATGCGTTTGTGTTTGGATATAGTGCCAACAAACAGAATAAATATTACATGTAGATATTGTCTTCCCAGATAGCGCATATTCAATTCTGCCTAAATTAAAAAACATAATTTTTGCCCACTCCCAAACTTTTTTGCTGAGAACTTATTTAAATTCCAAAAGCCGAATGCCAACTTTAATGAAAGGAACCAACACTGAAGTGAGTCAAAATGAAAATAATAGAGCACAAATTTTTATGTAAAGCAAAACTCGCTGGGAATTCTACGAGACATCTTCCGGTCATCTAAATGGGCGATCTGCAGTCTTTTAGCATCATATTTTACATCAGAATTGAAGGGATTTCTGAAAAATCTGACCAGTTCTTTTGTGTAACTGTGATTTTGCTTCCCTTGTCAACATATGGCCTCAGTTGATGTTAACTTAAGGTCGTTGTTTTACTGCCTTAAAATTGAAGGGAAACTTTTACAGCGTTTTTTATGTGTATTGGTTTCTATTTGAGTGTATTGAGAATCGGTCAGTCTGAAAAGGCCTTGTAGGGAAGATAATAGGTTTGTTCGTCGAAAATCCAGCGAGAATTATTACTCAAAATATCAGATAGTAATAGTAATAAATAGTTTTTTCCGAGTACCTTTCAAATCATTGGAATTAACTAAATTAATTAAGTAAACAAGTATTAACTTACATTTTTCATTTTAAAATCGCTCCAACTTGTAAATTTTTAAATTTAACGAATTTGTTTATTCAAATTATCGTCGACAAAAAATCCACCCATGTGCCACAATCATATCTTTTTCCTAATTGCAAATTCTTGCTGGCAAAATTTTTTCCGGCGCGAATTTGTAACTTCTCTCCAAGAAACAGTCTTTTTACTCGTGATTTATTTAAATAAAACATGTGAAATTTAGTTGAAACATTTTAGCCGTTTTTAGCCGGTTTTATTTGCCAATTTAGCCGGTTCATCCAAAAAGTTCTGGCAACACTGATGATTGTAGTGATATTGCTTGCTTAGCGTCAATTTGATTGAACTTGCTGCCTGAACCTTTACACACTTGTAGAGACGGAGAGGATGAAAATGGCATTTTTAACTGATGATGAGCAGTTGCATTATTGTTGCGGGCCTATTTGACTACTTGAGGTAGCCGTGTTGTTAGACAAAGCAGCAACTACACTGTCCTCAGAAACGACGATAGGTGGTGGCGAACGCATGAAATCACGCCGAGCCTCAGCACAACCATTGCAGATAAATGGCTTATCAGAATTGAGCAAGAACTCAACATCAGTCGGGTTCATATTTACACAAGCTAGGTGAAACAGGTCATTACCAGTGTTGTCGTTTTAGCCCTTTGGTGGCTAGATTTAGCTACCACATACTTTTTTTGGCCACATAAATTAAAAATTGCCCCTAGCCCTTTTTTTAGCCCTTTTTAGAATTTATTCATACTTGGTATGACAAAGTTGTATATGCTTAATTTGTTTTTTTTTTGCATTTATGTAAGAGATGAATTTTTAAACTAAGAAAGACTGATATATATATATATATGTATTGCATGTTCCTTACGCTTTTATACATACATACTGAAAAGTGTTGGGGCTGTTAGCTTATCTGTTAACGATTTAACTATAGTTTAAAATAAATTTGTAAATTTGCTAAATGACCCATCAAGTCAATTTACCGTGTATGTTCTTGTGGTGCGATTATACCAGCATGCTGGTGTCGTTAGTGGTGAAATTAGCTCAATTTCCTAAGTAAAAAGTATTTCGGCGGAAATTTCTTGCACTATATGAGTCAAAGCTGTATTTGTGGAAGATTACGTTCACGATATTGCAGTTGTTAATTACAAAAAAAAAAACAATGTTAAACAAAATGCCAGAAAAATTATGAAATTTCGGCTCTAATCATTTCGATCTTTCCTCGATCTCACTTGTAAAGAAATAGATATTGTACCAGCATGCTGGTAAGTTATATGCTTCGAGCCTGATGGTACAATCACTTGATGGAAACAGCAAGCAGCTGGTACAAAAAGGGTTTTTGCTCGGATAAAATATTAGCTTTTTTCCAAAGTTCATTGTTTTTATATACCACTACTCATTGAAAATGTTTACGTGTATACTTATATATATATAAGTAAGTAAAAAATTTTAGCTACCATTTTAAGCCACAAGTACTTTTTTTAGCTCTTTTTTAGCCCTTTTTTAAAGGAATTTGGCTACCACTAAAAATTATGCGCGGCAACACTGGTCATTACACTTAGCACATTGTATTTTATGCTGTGTCTGCTCCTTTTTTTGCCCACAAACACACGGCATTATGATATTATACTCGACAAAATTTAGCAATTTGATTAGAGTCTCTATCTCGGTAACAGCAAACCACAGTAGTGCACAAGCACATCAACATTTGCACATATGTTGGGCGATGAGAATAATATAAAATACGAAATTTTCAACTAGACAGAGAACGCGAACTGAAGACGTCCGCACGGCTTGACTGCTTTAACATTACTTGAGACAGAGAACGCGAACTGAAGACGTCCGCACGGCTTGACTGCTTTAACATTACTTGAGACAGAGAACGCGAACTGAAGACGTCCGCACGGCTTGACTGCTTTAACATTACTTGAGACAGAGAACGCGAACTGAAGACGTCCGCACGGCTTGACTGCTTTAACATTACTTGAGACAGAGAACGCGAACTGAAGACGTCCGCACGGCTTGACTGCTTTAACATTACTTGAGACAGAGAACGCGAACTGAAGACGTCCGCACGGCTTGACTGCTTTAACATTATTTGAAATTGGTATAGAAATAAGATACCGTTGATTTTTGAGAATTTTTTTCGCTGATGATGTTGCGCATTTTCTCCGTATAACGAATGCGTGAGGGTTTTTTTTTATGGGAAAAAATGCCGAAGAGTGTCAGTATGTAAAAGACTTATTCTGGAGGCTTAACTCCTGCTAAACGACCGAAATGATTTTAATGATAATTTCTAGTGGCGCTGGATCCGAGTTATTGCTAAAAATCGTCGATTCGGAGGCCCCAGGGATCAAAGTCAAATGGCTCCCGCTAAAACAACCATAAGAACCATTGCGGTCATTGCTTTACGGTGACTAAACAGAATGTGGACCAATGATACTCACCAGTTTAGAAATTGCCAACATCTATACTATACAGATTCAAGGACGATTCACTATCGAGCCGCAAGGACTTCTTCCCGGTATAACGCTTTCGTCAGGTTATTCAAGAGGCAATGGAGGATATGCCTTCTGTCGACCACAAAACCAAACGTGAACGTGAATTGCTGGCGAAAACGTTGGACCAAATGTTTCAATAAAAAAATTAATTTTGGGTGGGACGAAGTTCGTCGGGTTTGCTAGTTTATTATGAAAAAGAAAAAAACACTGTATTCTGGGTGTATATAATTACAGATAGGTAAAAGTTCCAATATGTTTGGAA